TTTTGTTGTGACCTTATTCTATTATACTTGTGAGCAACCGGTTTGTTACTAATGAATTGTTTGATTTTTTGCGGTTTTCCATGCGAACAGATAGCATGTAATTGTCAGAAAATGAGTGCAAAAAATTAAGAACACTAGAGATAAATTAGCATAAGAATTTTTATTGGGTGCCAGCACAAATGCGGTACAATATTGGGTCGGCAATAGATTCCTTGAGCTACAAAGATACCTGGGATGAATACTCAGCTCAGAAATATGTAACTTACGAACCTGGAAAATGCACCATTTTTACAGATGACAAATCATCATTAGAGCAGACATTCACCGCAAAAAAATAGCGTGATTATATTTTCCAGCATTGAAAAAAGAAATTAAGTTGTTTTGGGTAGTAGGAAAAAGAATGCGAAGATTATTGAGCGAAGATAGACTCTAAGCCATGCTAATTTTTTTCAAACATGTTTTCGCTAAATTTTGTCTTTGACAATCAAAACAAAAAGAAGAAGGTAGGCTAAGCCCTTTGCTTCAAAAAAGCGAGAATCTAATTTCAAACTTATTCCAGTGATAGCTTATCAAAGAAAGTAGTGAATAATTCACGCAGTTTTCGATCTTTGTCTGCCTGAGCTAGTCAGAAACTGAGACTTCTAGCCCAAAGCACTTTTATTGCTGTGATCTGTCTTGGAATAAAATTTGATGTTGCTTCGATAAGAGTAAAGGATCATAAACAGAAAATTTGCAATAGATTGGATTTAGTTTCACCTTCGCTTCAAGCACTAACAAGTTGTCAGAGTGAAAATGGAATCGAAGAGAAGCACGCAGAATTCTAGGAAAATTCTATCTATTCGGAAAAAAATTTTGATACGCAATTTCCATAGCTTTTCAGAAGCTAAACTCTATTAAACGAGAAGAGTTTTCATTTGGAGCATTTTTTAGCCATGTTTTTTTTTTCTCATTTTCTAACCTAAAAAAATGATGACTTTATCAACACCTTCCCACGTGTTGGGGTCGCAATAACTTTGTTCTCTCTACCAGGAGAACTGTGAACTTTGGACTCAGAGCGCTCGACCTCGTTCTAGTCAGCCCCTTTCTACTTATTGATGTTGATAGCAGCAGTTGTTGCTCTTACTCCATAGTATCGTGCAGTTCTTCCTTGTTTACAATGAATTTCCAGTTCGTACGAATATCAGAAAAATCTTCTTAAGGCATGAAATGATAGAGAAAAACCTATTGCTAAAATATTCGGTTTTTTTTGCAACTGAATCTTTTTGTCTCGCACTTTTGTCTCAGTGTTCAATTGAATCACCCAGAACTTACTTATCTCTGATTTTTCCTCTATTTTTCTCTATAATTTTACTATTAACTTTTTAATAGAATTTAAAGACTTTAAGAAAGTAAGTAAAAAAGATTTCGTATTGATGAGACTTTTCTATCATTTAGCTTTATTGCTGATGTTCATTATAAGTTTAATCTCACATATTTTACAGGTCACTAACCAATCCATTAAAAATGGCATCAAAGTCAGGTAAAATTTTCTTAATACTTCGCTTATTCTTGTAGACTTTTGAGTTGTATTGCTATCTAGATAATCTTTGCTTGATTGCACTAACATAGTACTAGCAAAGGAAGAAACATCCTCTTCCTCTCTTCCACCTCCCAAGAAATTTCAGAAATAGAACTTTATTGGTAATAAATTAAAGGATCAATCATATCCTTTCAAAATATCAAACAACAAAGGCACTTTTGGTGTTAGTGCAGAGTGAAAAAAAAACTTATTGTTAGGCAAGAAGAGAGAAATTCTAGACAAGGTAAAATTATAAAAATAAAATGCAGAAAAAATCAATAAATATTTCGTATTTTTTCTAGTTATGTGTGAGAAGAAACAAAACTAATCGAGTAACCTTTTGATAAATTTAACATTTCAGGAGTTTTCATTGTTGGCGCTAAACGAACAGCATTTGGGACATTCGGCGGAAAATTAAAGAATACCTCAGCTACAGATCTTGGAGTTATTGCTAGTGTTGCTGCACTAAAGCATGCTAATGTTAAAGCTGATGACATCGACCACGTTATCTTCGGTGAGCAAATTTTTCTTTGCCATTTTGCACATTATTAATTTTTGTGCTAAATTTTCTTTTGTGAAAGCAAAATCTGTTGTGTGAGGAATGTAATCAATGTTAGTCTACCATCTGTTTCTATTTGCTTTTTCATAATTTGATACGATTTGTAGAAACAACTGCATATTTGGGTAAAGTTCTTGATCTCAAAAAGTTCAAATTGTTCGCCCACTTTAACTGAATTTACCAATTATTATCCAAAAACAAGCATACATTTACCAGTTGGAAATAGCCATGCCACGAGATAGATAGGCAAGCCATGTTATTTAGGAAATGTCGTTCCAAGTGCCAAAGATGGAATCTATCTTTCTCGCCATATTGGTCTAAGAAGTGGAGTTCCACAGAACATTGGAGCTCTTACAGTGAATCGACTCTGTGGTTCTGGATTCCAAGCTCTTGTCAACGCTGCTCAGGTAAGAGCAAGGTGCACTGCTTCTAAGTCTAATCTCGAAAAGAATAGAGAATTTTCTCCAGGTTTAAATTAGCAAGAGAACAACAATTGCAAGTATAGTTGGACTGAATATTCGTGTTCGAATAAAATCTTCGAAAATTTCGGATATTCGAATGTTCAAAATTCGAAAACAGCA